GTAATAGAGTGGTACTTAATTACTTTTGATCTACAACAATGGAGTTATTGATTTTTTTTTATTTCCATTCATTGTTGAGACAAATTGTTTTGGGAGTTTGTCAATGACAATTGCTGCAATTGTTGTCAATAGATGATGATAATAAATAATTCAAAATATATGGTTACAATAGATATTGTTATAATGATATAGTAAAAATTAACTTACAATTTTTTTTTTTGAAGTTTTCATGCATTTATAAAACTCTGAGAATGATGTGTAAACTTGTTCAATTGGAGTTAGTGGGGATGTCAACATTGTCAATTTTTTGGACAATGGTCTTACCATTTAGAGCCCATGTGTTGTTGTATTTCTTATCAACAACTTTGTAGTTAGGTCGCGCAGGTTTGACAAAGATGTAAGAACAACTTTGTCCGATAAAAATAATAATAGTACAATATTATTTGTAAAGTAATGTACAATTATACTATTATAGAAATACAGATACAAAATATTAATACCATAATGACCTAAATCATTTCCAATAATGCAAAAGCATAATTGAAATATTGAGTATTGTTCTAAATAATCAAAAGAAATTAATTAAACGGAAAAAAAAAAAAACAAAACTTAACCTAAGTTTTTTTTTTTTTTTGTTAAATGCAATAAAATGATTATAAAGGTTCTTTATAAAATTAGCCGGTATTTATAATCTTTGATGCTCAACTTTCAAAACAATGTATTTAGCCGGATTAATTATGTGACAAAGTTTTATATTAAATTTTATATTATATTTTTTTAAATACATTGTTAAATATTCGTAATATATGTTTAACAATTATGCCAACTCTGATTGAGATGTGGTTCGAACCTAAGACTTTCTTATAGAAATCAATGAATAAGTTAAGAATAATAAATAGTTAACGGAATATTTCATTATTAAAGTTTATACTAACGGAATGCGGGGTTATTTAAGAATAACAAAATAATATAATAGATAGTAAAGAAGGAAAATCATAAAAATACTAAAATCAAAATAATCTGAACCATTCATTTCATCAAATAATTGGACATTTTTTAGTTCCCGTTATAATTTTAACGTTATTGGCTCTTATTAGTATAGTATAGTATAGATAGATAGTAGATAGTAGATAGTAAATAATAACAACAACAAATTACAATATAAAATATTAGTAATATGACTATTATATATGTGAGAGAGATATTTGTATCCTAGTACTCCAGTATTTCTTCCGAAGAAGCATAGAATTTAAAATTTCAGGATCAGAGTTTCAATTCCACAAAATGAAGGATGTATTTCAATTTAGCAATGCTACAAACTCCTATATTTTTCCTAAAAAAAATTGTCTTGAGATATTCTTCCAAAAGGCTGAACCCCATCCCTAAGGGCTCCCCACACTCCGACCCGACAGAGCATTTGGGAGAATGTAAATCATGGTAACTCAACTGAACATGAACTGGTAAATTAAAATTGGAACTAGCGCAATTCGCAGAATTAGAAGCCTTTGCACAATTTGCTTCTGATCTCGATAAAGCTAGTCAAAATCAATTGGCAAGAGGTCAACGATTACGTGAATTGCTTAAACAATCCCAATCCGCTCCTCTCACGGTGGCAGAGTAGATAATAACTATTTTTACTGAAATAAATGGTTATCTTGATTTATTAGAACTTGGACAGGTAAAGAAATTAATTGTTGAGTTACGTACTTACTTAAAAACTAATAAACCTCGGTTCGAAGAAATCATATCTTCTACGAAGATATTTACCGAGGAAGTAGAAGCCCTTTTGAAAGAAGCTATTCGGGACCAAATGGATCGTTTTCTACTTCAGCAACAAGTATAAAGAAATTTTGATCAAACTTCACAAAAAAAAAAAAAAAAAAAAAAAAAAAAGACTAGTGCTCACTGCTCACAAGAAACCTCCCGCCCCCTCCCTCACTTTGAGAGGTAGCTCCCACATTAAGGCTAGTGAGACTCGATCCGTGGTCATTCTTCCAAAGTTTCACCTCTGTGACCAGTTGAGCTGTCCATGCGGGTAAATTGTCTTGAGATATCATCATATGATTAGTAGTTAAAGATATTTATTAGTTAGTTGTGAATTAACTAATTAATTGACATCCAATAAATCAAAGACACACCATGATCGAAAAGTTTAGAGGTAAAAATTAGGAGGGAAGAAACATTTTCCATTTCGATTTCCTTCCGCCAAACTTTGAAATATATCAAAATGTGAAATTATGGATGGGTAAAAGAAATAAAATTACCCCTACCAAATGTTGGAAAATAGTATAAAAAGGCATTGAAAGTGGCTATTTTATTGTACAAATATATATGGGGGCCACTTTCGATTTGGGTCTAGTCAAGGTGGATTCAGGTTTAATTTTTTGTAGTGAGACGAAGAGATTGATATATTGTACGCTCAAAACGAATAATGAGTGAATAAGAAATTGATTCTCAAAGTATACCCATTTGAGTTGGAAGATGAATGTGGAAATGCTTAAAAGTAGTCTTTGTCTCACATTGGAAAAACAACGGGATTTGCACCATTATATATACAAGAGCCTTTTAGATGCATGTTGAATTGTATAGCATGGAGGCTCTCTCGAGCGCAGGTGGGTGCAAATCAAATCTCGGAATGAGCCTAAAAAAGGCTTGACTCGTGTACGTTGGCACCTGCGGGCACGAATGTCGTCCGGAAAAAGTGACTGACTTACTACTTGGGTCTACCATTCCTAGACTGCTCGATTGGAGTCACCATTCGGTCAATATGGGTTTGACTGAATGGTTGACACCTCTCGTAACCTTCCTTCCGGGCACCATTTAAACTACTTACGATTCGAACCATTCTTCGGAGTACCGTTTTGGGTATTAATTCTGATATTATGAAATTAATTACAAATTAATTCCAATTTTAAGTTTTAGAATTAATTTCCAAAATAGCGGCTGTATTTTATAAAGGTTACACAGACTGATTTAAATATCATTATAAATGTCAAGTTTAATGTTATTGAATACAAACTCTCCTATATATATACCTTGGTTGAGCATCATATTTTATATACAATCTTTGCCAATGTTTTTTGCTCACACAAAACTTTGCTCATCTTTCTCTCTTTCATTCTGTGTTCATCATGTATTCTAGTTCGCCGGGCTCACTTGTTTGAGTGCTCAAACATTGAGTGGTAGTACGTTTTATCATGTGAAACCTAGGCTAGAACGCTCCTAGCACCTTTGGGAGGTAGCAAATGAGGTTTTAAGGAATGAGTGTTGCCCTCGATTCGTATTAACCCTAAACCTTTTGTTACTTGTGCTTGTATTTTTCCAAAAAATAATCTTTACGTAGGATTATTTCGCAACACCAAACGCCATGTCAACCCACGATTGGATGATTAAAATTGATATTTTCCCCTTTTATGGAAATTTCAATAACTTCAACTAAAATGTCATAATTATTGATTTTTTTTTTTTGAAGTGCAATAATAAGCCTTATAAGTTCCATTGAGGTTTTTTAAGTCGACGAATTTTTTTAATTTGACCTATTTAACAGGTTACTTATTTGTTATTAACTAGTTTTTTACGCGCGGGATAATGCCTAATGTTTTTTTTTTTTTTTAAATAAGTACTTTAAAGTATATTAAGGCAATATTATATTGGAATTGTTCATGCATAGATAATTGAATGTTGAATTTGCGTAGTTAAATAGGTAATTCTAAGTTTACAAATGCAAGATAATATAGTCAAGATTGATTATAATTGTCAATATTATAATTGTATTGGTATGGTTGAAACCAAATACGAGACACAAGGGAGATCAAACAATTATTATTATTATTATTATTATTATTATTATTATTATTATTATTATTATTATTATTATTATTATTATTATTATTATTATTATTATTATTATTATTATTATTATTATTATTATTATTATTATACCCTTAGGTCATTTTACATGTTAACCTAAACAACTAATTTTTTCAAATATCTTTTTACCAACCGTTGATATAATTCACTGGTTAAATTCGCTAACGCTAACCGCTAACTGTTGATTGTCAAACAAAGACACTGTGAGGTAGTTCTCACTTCAATTTGTTGTGTAGAATACTCTCTTTTTCAACAAATCCCGTAGTTAATATGATTGGCTTTATTAATTATATTTTTTTAATTTTTTCATGGTATTAATAAAATACTTTTTAAATAAATATATAGCATTATTTTGTATTATAACTTTGATATTTAATTAAAGAAATAGTACACAAAAAAGATAATAGACAATGTAGTTAATATAATCAATTTATAATTTGAATGTAAAGTATTTTTACATTGGAGAAATATAAAGACAATATAACTAACAAAATTATTTCTCTTAATTAATTTATTGATAATGAATACTTTTTTTTAATGAAGACATTATAGGGACAATGTAGCGAATATAATCAATTGATGAATTTGAATGTAAAGAATTTTTATATTGGAGAAAAATAAAGACAATATAACTAATAAATTATTTCTCTTATTTAATTTATTGATAATGAATATTTTTTTTTTTTTGAATAAAGACATTGTAGACATATAATTCTAAATTAAAGAATGCATATGTATTATTTTTTATTGTAGCTACTAAATTATTATTTAATTTAATAAGAGTAAGATATAGTACTAATTGCTACTATATTAAATGTCAGAAATTCTCTCTCTAGAATCTCTCTAGGGTTTTTGCCTCCATACTAGGGTTTCCTAGGGTTTTGCTACGTTATTTGCTTGCCGGCGATTGTTCATCCATTAACAGATTTCCGATGGCGACAAGGCAACCAGCGCCAGACGTGTAGGCGAATGCGGGGGAGGATGAGGTTGCAGTGGTGACAGAACAATGGGCAGAATGGTCGTTGGAGGAGGAGGAAACGGCCTTCGCACCGGTTGGGGACGAGGCGGGGCACGCCGGAGAGGAAGTAGAAGAGACGTGGAAGGTGGTTGGGAGGTTCTTAACACAGAAGATGGTGAAACTAGAGTTTATGCGTCAGGTTTTAGCATCCGTATGGCAACCAGTTAGAGGGGTTCAAGTTACGGAGATCCAAAGGGGTGTGTTCTTGTTCGTTTTCTTTCATAGAACGGACGTGGATTATGTTTTGGATGGGGGACCTTGGGCTTTTGAGAACAACGCCTTGGTTTGCAGGGAGGTACCGCCGAATACCGCTCCGGGGGAGGTTCCGTTGAACACAATTGATATGTGGGTACAATTACACGATATGCCACTAGGATATACGTCTCAAACGGTGTTGGAACAAGTTGGAAATTTCATAGGAACTTTTGTGAAACATGATGATCGGTTCGAAGGGGCCCTGTGGTTGACTTTCCACCGAATTAGGGTTTCTATTCCGGTTGATAAGCCGCTACGACGACGAATGAAGCTTCTGAAGAGGGATAAGACCACGACTTGGGTAACGTTTCGTTATGAACGATTACACAGGTTCTGTTTTTTCTGCGGGTTAATGGGACATCTATACACTTTTTGCATTAAGGCACGAGACTCTGGAATCCCGTTGGAACGGTACCCGTATGGTCCGGATATGCGAGCTGGTGGATCCCGGAGCGCTCCTAGAGCAGTTGGGGATAGCTGGCTTGTGCCGGTCGGCGGGCGACCATGTCCGATTGAGACAGGGACCGGGGTGTCCGGGGTGGTGGCTGCACGATTGAATCACGGTGTACCCGTACAGGTTGAGATGGACGCCGGAGAGCAGGTGGAGGCCAGCGGAAAACGACGCAGGTAGGCTGAGAGCGGAGGACGGGGTACGAAGTTTGAGGGTGAGGATGTGATTATGCAAGTGGGTTCAAAAAACTTGTCCATGGCGGGAGCTATTTCACAGCCCCGCCCATCCTCATTAGTACGTTAAGCTGGAACTGTTGTGGCTTGGGCAATCCACGAACAGTTCGACAGATAGTGGACCTGGGGTCCCGTAAGAAGCCGGATTTTATGTTCTTAATGGAAACCAAGGTGGCGCGGATACATGCGGAGCGGATCCGTGTTAGTCTTGGATATGAGGGATTATTTTATGTTGATAATGAGGGATTGAGTGGTGGTATGGCCCTTTTTCGGAAGAAGAATAATACGGCACAGTTATTGAGTTATTCTAAGAACCATGTGGAGGGGAAGTGGTGTCGGATGACATGCTTTTATGGCTTTCCGAAACGCCGGGAGAGGAGAGATTCATGGGATTTGTTGCGCTCGTTACGTGGCAGATCCACACTGCCGTGGGGGATGGTGGGAGATTTTAATAATCTCTTGTTCCAGCACGAGAAGAAACGAGGTAACCCGTATCCTAATAGTCTCCTACGCGGCTTTGGGGAGGCTATTGATGAGTGTGTGTAACACCCCAGATTTTCAAGATATTTAAAACTTATAAAATAAAGGTGAAATCTCATTAAATCCCAAAAAGAGTACGAGTGTACGGGGTGCTATGCCACACCTGAGCTAGAGAACTCAGGTGCACAGGCTAACTAACTAATTTCTCAATGATATGAATGTATAAACATGGCACGCAGGCCGAAAGGGAAGCTAACTACTTCTATGTTCCAAGCTCTAGCGCACTCCAGTGACTTAATCTTCTGTGCCTGAAAGCCAAATATATCTGTTCAGCGAGAGATGCTGGTAACCCACTCCAACGCGTTGAAATACAATACGTATAGAGATATATATAGATATACGAAAACCATTTTAAAGCATGAAGATATATCCTATGAGACTCTAGCTTTTAAAACCGGGAATGACTCGACAGATAAGGCTAGACACAAGCAACAGTTATAACAGGCGTATACAATCCACAACAGGCAAGACAGATAAAGCTGAGCATAATTAATAATCATAACCCAACATAAACGATCCCCAGCATATATCCCTCAGTCACATCCCCCAATATACTCATAAACACAACTCCTCCATATCTCATCATATAGCATACTTTGTTGGCGCCACAGGACCAATCGCATGCCCATACATGAGGGTCAGCGCATATAGCTCTGACACGGCCCCGCAGCACCCTGCCCCGTCTCACATTACGGAGGAGTCGATCGCAACCGACTGATGGACCTTTGTCCTACATATTATTTATATACCTGATCGGTCTTTACCAGCCTGGTTAACAGTTGGGATGGTTCTCAGCCCATTCAACTGCCCGTATAGTGGACCTTTGTCCTATATAATATTTATATACCTGACCGGTCTCTACCAGCCTGGTTAACAGCCGGTATGGTTCTAAGCCCATCCGACTGCCCGTATAGTGGAACTTAGTCCTATATAATATTTATATACCTGACCGGTCTCTAACAGCCTGGTTAAAAGCCGGTATGGTTCTCAGCCCACCCGACTGCCCGTATAGCCCGATTGATCTTAACCAACTCGGGGTTACATGCACACATAACACATAGCAAGTACATGCAACCCACATTAACACTTTGGGAAGGGGGAGAAAACGTATAACAAAACCTATGCGTGATCCATCACATACTAAGAATAGTCCTAAGGGGTTCATACTTCTTCCACCTAGGTCAACGGGATCCCAATTCAACTAGCATGCAATATAATAGACTCATAAACCTACGAACGGTACCCGAAATATCAAACTAGACATAGGCACGATAAACGGAGTCCGTTGGGACACCACGGGGGACGGGGAAGCCGAGATCCCGAGGGGGATAATTTTCCAGCGGGTAGCCGGTGGGTGGGGGGCCACCCGCCGGCTGCCCGGCGGGCATTACTGTTCCGGGCAGCGGGTCGCCGGCGGGCAGCTGCCCGGCCACCGGCCACCCGCTGCCGGAGATGTGTTTTCCGGCCGTGGGTAGGTGGCGGGTCCCCTACCCCCCACTGACTCTTATCACACAATTTCGCCCCGGGAACCATTGTGGAACCCGAAACCATGCTTAGACACTTTACAACGCAATTAACGACAACACGTAGACAATTAACGGATCAAATACGAGAAACGAACGGCACATAACCTATCATGCTTTTCTAAACATAATCAACACCCAAACATGCGATTTCCCCACCCGATAAACCAAGAATAATATCATACGATACAACCTAGGGTTCTAGTAACTTTTATATCAACAAGAATACGGTTCGTCTTCTAATTGCAAGATTCGGTAAGAATAACACGTAAGCATCAAGAACAACACACAACTATCAAGAATATCATATAATCATCAAGAGCTCCATATAATCATCAAGAACACCATAACTATCGAGAATCTCCCAATATCAAGATTACCAAGATCCCCTATGGGATCATCACATCAATCATCAATAATATCATCACAAATCCGCAATATACAATAATATGGGGAAACCCTAAGGGGGAATCATAACTATGAAAATAGGTTTTGTTGAGACATGGGTTACCTCTTAGCCTTAATTAATTCCTTGGCTATGAAGGGTCTTTCTTTAGGCTTTCTTGCTCTCTTGATTTCTTCTAGGGGAATTCTTGGAGCTCTTTGGGGAGGTGGGGCGTTATTCTTGTGGGGGGTTTCTAGGTGCCTCTTAAGTCCCCTATTTATATATTTAAGACTCCTAATTAGGGTCTGAATCGTATGGGTTTACTAATTCTATTCCTTATAGAACTAAGGGCTTATTTTAGGGATATGGGTCCATGGTCCATAGTGGACCATATTAATTAATTAAAGGGAATCCTAATCGTAGTCTGGATAGTAAAATGCCTACTTCCTTTATTCCTAATAGATAACTAGGTCTAGGATTTCTAATTAGAATCTGAATAGTAAAGGGTTTACTTTCTTTATTCCTAATAGGCTTAGGACTCTAATTTAGGCAAGGGTCCACTGTTCATGGTGGACCTTATTAATTAATTAAAGGAAACCTAACCAAATTAAATCATATTTAATTATTATTAACGGGATTAATTAAATAATTAATCCGGGATTGAAGGCCGTAACACGGGGTGTTACAGTGTGGGTTGGCGCAAATGCCTACGAGGGGACATCAATTCACATGGGAAAAGGGTAAAGGTACGCAGAATTGGATTGATGAGAGGCTTGACAAGGTATTGACAACAACGGATTGGAGTGATATTAACCATAATGCATGGGTTGAGAATATACGAACTAGAGCTTCGGATCACTCGATTCTTTTCCTCAACATTAATGCACCATGCATACCAAGGAGAGGGAACCCGAGGGATTTTTGATTTGAGCTGGCCTGGCTGTTAGATGAAGGTTGTAAGGAGGTTGTGGAGACTGCCTGACAGAATGGGAGAACAGAGGGGTTACTTGGGTGCCAGCAATATTGTGGAGAGAGGTTAATGCGATGGGGTGGTGATCGTTTTCATAAGTTTGGAAAACGTATTGACCAGCTACGACGACGTCAGGAGTCTATCCGAAGTCGAAGGGATCAGGCAGCGTTAGCCGAGTTCCAGCAGATTGAGGATCAGCTGAATCTGCTAGAGACCCAGGAAGATGTATTTTGGAGGCAATGGGCGAAGCAACACTGGCTCCGGGGAGCAGATGCCAACACGAAATTTTACCACAGGTATGCCTCTGCCCGTAGGAAAAAGAATTTGATTGTACGTATTAAAGATAATGATGATTCGTGGGTTGAGAGGGATAAAATGAAGGCGGTAATATTGGATTACTATACGAATATTTTTTCCTCAAATAATTCTAGTTGCTCGGATCCGTTGTTTGATAATTTTAGCCCCCGGGTTACTCAAGAACAGAATGCAGTGTTGGTACGGCCCTATGAGGCTGATGAGGTTAAGGCGGCAGTTTTTTCCATGTTTCCTGATAAGGTACCGGGTTCGGATGGAATGAATCCGGGATTCTATCAGCATTTTTAGAGTGTAGTAGGGGAAGATGTTACTCTGTTTATATCAAATTCTTTGAATTCATGTGCTTTCCCGGAGGGGTTCAATGATACTAATATTGTGCTAATCCCTATAAAACACTACCTGAGACGGTTGCAGATATGAGACCAATTGCGTTAAGCAATGTTGTCTACAGAATAATGGCGAATAGGATGAAGCCACTGATGGGAGGAATAATCTCAGAGTCCCAGAGTGCGTTTATCCCGGGGCGTTTGATTACAGATAATATCTTGGTAGCAGCAGAAGTGGGGCACTATTTAAATAGGAAACAATGTGGCCGTGCAGGGTGGAGTGCACTAAAACTGGATATGTCAAAAGCTTATGACAGAATGGAATGGCTTTTCTTGAGGAGGATGATGACTGTTATGGGTTTTGATGATAAGTGGATCCGGCTTATTATGCTGTGTGTTACCACAGTTAGGTATTCGGTCATGATAAATGGAGATGTAGGGGGATGTGTAACCCCAACTCGCGGACTCAGGCAGGGAGATCCTCTTTCTCCCTATTTATTTATTATTTGTGCGGAGGGGCTTTCAATGCTATTACAGAAGGCACATATGGATGGGGCTATACATGGGTGTAGGGTGGCTAGAGGGGCACCACCGGTCTCACATTTGTTTTTTGCAAATGACAGCCTGTTGTTTTTCAAAGCTAATATTCAGGAAGCAGCTGTTATTAAACAATGCCTGATTAGATATGAGAAATTGTCTGGCCAAGTGGTGAATTATAATAAATCAAGTATTTGCCTTAGCAGGAATACCCAGATGCCGCAGAGAGAACAGGTGGCGTGGTGTTTGGGAGTGGAGCTAGCATCCAGTTTTGGAAAATATCTTGGGCTTCCTTCCTTTATAGGAAGAAATAAAAGGGCTGTATTTGCATATGTAGAAGATAAAATCAGGCAGAAAATTGGTTCATGGAATAAAAAAATGCTCTCACGGGCTGGGAAGGAGGTGCTCTTGAAAAGTGTGGCTCAGTCTATGCCTACATTCTCCATGAGTGTTTTTTTATTACCTGAATCAGTGTGTTTATCTATAGAGCGTACTATGAACAAATTTTGGTGGGGAACAGGTGCGGATCGTGGAATACATTGGAAGGCTTTGGATAAATTATGTATCCCTAAGAAATATGGAGGATTAGGTTTTAAGGATCTTCGTGCGTTTAATCTGGCCATGCTAGGGAAACAGGCATGGAGATTTCTTACTGAACCAACCACTTTGGTAGCAAGAATTTATAAGGCTCGATATTATCCTACGACCACTTTTGTTGATGCTACCATAGGGAATTGCCCAAGTTACTGCTGGCGAAGTATTATGGCCACCCATGATCTAGTCTGCGCCGGTGTGCACCGAAGAATTGGAAACGGTAGGAATACATTGATATGGGGACACCCTTGGTTGTCTGATGATCCTAGTCCTTTGGTCCAAACACACATGCCTGATGAGTTAAGAGAAGCATTAGTGATTGGTCTGATAGATCAAAATACGAATACCTGGGATCCACATATTCTCAATGATTTATTTATTCTTGAGGATGCAGCCCGGATTTCAAGAATACCTGTAAGCCCAGATTATGATGACACATGGTATTGGATGGGGGACACACAAGGAATATACACGGTTAAGAATGCCTACAGGCATATTATGGGAGATTATTCTGATAACCCAGGGGCTTTTGATAAATGGGTTACATTATGGAAGTTAAAAGTGCCACCCAAATGGAAAACCTTTTTATGGAGGGCTGTGTCTGGCATACTCCCCACCACTGATAATTTGATTATTAAAAGAGTGGAGGTGGATCCTATATGTCCGATGTGTTGCTTTGCACAAGAGAATATTATGCATGCACTGATTTTATGTGATTATTCTAAAATGGTTTGGAATATTTCGGGATTACCTGTCACGAATATTCTAACTAATCTATTCCAATCATGGTTCGTAGGCGTGCTGAACTCGTTGACGGAAGGGCAAGTAAGGCTGGCCGTGGGAATTTTATACTATTTATGGCATGCCCGGAATTCGGCAGTATGGGAGAAGACTTTGCCACGGCCTGCATCCACGGTGAAGAGGGTGGTGAGGACCGAGGAGACGTTCACCAAGCTTGGACGCGCAACATATCAACCTCCTGCCACCGTGATGCTTGAAGACGATGCACAAAATCGGCTGAGGTGTTTCTTCGATGCTGGCTACAGACATCACACAGGAGAAGCGACATATGGAGTTGTGCTACTCAATCACGATGGTGTTTTTGTGGCGGCCACGGCTGGAACACTCCCTGGTGGTTTTTCACCTATTATGGCGGAAGCTCTTGCGTGCAAGGAAGCCCTATCATGGCTTAAAGGGCGCGATACACGGATGGTTGATCTACTCACAGATTGCATAGAGTTGCGAAACATGATACAATCAAGAAGTACGGGAACTCGATCTTATGTTGGGGTCATTGCTGACCAGTGCAGGACATCTATGTCGTTATTTACATATTGCTCTTTAAATTATATTTCCAGAGCTGTTAATATGCATGCTCATACACTAGCTTCGTTAGCATTCGATCAGGACCAGCCTATGTATTGGGACGTCGTCCCTCCTGACTCTATTACTATGTTCGTTCATTAATATACCAAATTACTTGGCTTTCAAAAAAAAAGATATAGTACTAATTATGTCAACTTTGATTGGGATGAGGTTCGAACCTAAGACCTTTCTTATTGAAATCAATGAGTAAATATTTTTTTTTTTTTACAAAGGAAGGGGGACACCCATACAATCTACGCCTACACTGAGGCTTGAAAGCTAGACCTCCCACATACGGGAGCAATCCTATACCAGTGGACCATAAGCCACTTAAATCAATGAGTAAATTAACGGTGAACTAACAGAAATTAACGGAAAAGATAATATTTAACGGAAAAGTTAACGGATAATCATATTCATTAAGGATAAATTAGGAAATCTTAAGGAAAAAAATTAAAATCTGATCAATCTGAACCATTCATTTGATTAAAACATTTGACCGCCATTTTTTATACCCATTATAGGCCTAACTCTCTTGGACTCTTATTAGTATAGTAGATTAGGTTTCCACGTCATTACAAAGCTCTAATTGGGATCTTTAAAATGAAACACATTAATTTTTAAAATAAAAATAAAAATAAATATTTAGCTAACATAAAGTCATTACTTAAGTATATAAATCACGGCAAATTATGTTCTGCAATCGTGTACACCATGCATGGTGCACACTATTATATGTTCATAATTACTGAACTATATGTTCATAATTATAAAGCAATATATTCATAATTTTTGAATTTCATATTCATAATTATTGAACTCTATATTCACAATTACAGAACTTTATGTTCATAATCCCAATTGTTGAACTATGTATTCACAAATCACAGAACTATATGTTCAAAATTTGATGACTATACAATTTAGGAATTATGAATCTACAGTACAAAAATTATGAATCTACAGTACATATATTATGAATCTGCAGTATAGAAATTATGAATCTACTGTATTTAAATTATGAATCTATGATTTAGAAATTATGAATCTACAATATAGATTTTATAAATCTACAGTATAAAAATTATGAATCTACAATATAAAAATTATGAATTGGAACCGTGTGCACCTTGTATGGTGTACACGGTTGTACAGCATAACGTTTCATAAATCACTATGAATTTTGATTGGGAAAGAGTTCCCGGTCCAAAGCCAATTGGGTCTAAGGAGTGGAAGCCCAAGGATTAATTATGACAAATTATTGTGTGGACCATGGTCCACATAGTGTTGTATGGACTATAAAAGAAAGTACATTTTTAATATTCTAAAAGTAAATTATTTGTGTATTGAATGTACATTATATAAAATAATGTAATTTTAGTATTCAAATAATGTACTTTTTCTGAATATAAAGTGCATTTTTGATATATTAAAAGTGCATTAGTTTTGTACTAAATGTACATTATTTTATAGTATACAAAATATGGTCCATGCAACTTGTGTGGACCATGGTCAACACTATAATGATTGTTAATTAGGTCTAGAGCATGTTGAAGCCCATGGGAAATGATTGGGAGGCCTATGTAAGAGGATCGTTATACCCTACACCACGGCGCACATTGCACTGTGCGGGGGCGCCTCCCAAAACGACGTCGTTTAGGTAAGTTATGTAGAGAGTTGACGTAATTATGTGTATTTGTTTATACAATTATGTTCATTTTTTTTTATACAATTATGTACATTTTTTTTATACAATTATGTACATCCGAAACAAGAAATTTATGTGTATTATGTTAAGAGTTTATGTGTATTATGTATTATGTTATATTATGTGTATTATCTTTTTAAAAAAAAAGTATGTGTATTTTGTTATACAATTATGTACATTCATGTATACAATTATGTGTATTCTAGTATAAAATTATGTACATTTTTGAACATGAGATTTTTTTTAAAGAAAATTAACCGCCAACACAGGGTAGCGAAATTTAAAAAAAAAAAAAAAAACTGAAACGACGTCGTTTTGCATCAGAGCGCACAATGCAATGCACGCCCTAGTGCACGATATAAATTGCCTATGTAAGAAGGGAAGAGAGGTAGAGGTGCAAATTGAGCTAAGGATCAAAGTTAAGGGGATGAGGGCCCATAGGCTGAAGGGATTGGGAATAAAGTAATGAAGGAGAGAAAAGTTTAAAGGCCAAAGTATGACCAGGCATAAATTATATGGTCTAAAGGCACAAAGACTAGGAAGGGGACAAAGGAATGGATCAAAAGTGAGAAGGGGCATAAAATCCTAGGTCCTAAGGTGTGGCAAAGGTACGGTAAGGAATGATGGACTGGTACTGGCAAGGCAACATGGTACCCCGCCAGTCCAAAACTATCTCGAGTTGATAGAGTTATATTTAGCTTTGGAGTCTTTATAAGGTTAATAACATACAGACTCAGTTTGCGTGCAGTTTGTTGCTATTCAAAGTCTAATTTGTATTTTCAAGAAGAGAAAATTACACTTTTGGTCCTATAACTATAGGAGGAGTGGTAATTTCAGTTCGTGACTTTTAAAACTAACAGATTTAGTCTTTTTAGTATACTTTTTTTTACACATTAAGTCCTTCCGGCTAATTTGCCGGTAGATTTTCGCCGGAAAAACAATTTCATATGTTTATTAATTTTTTGGGAGGGTAAAATGGTCACTTTTGGTCTGTAGGCAAATATACTACGTCAGAAGCTGGCTCTCTTGAGTTCGACGACCATCAGCCGTGAAACCAAGACGACGAAATCTTTGCCGGCGCATTATGAGCAAATTATGGCGACTTTGGAGAAACAAACAGTTCAACAAAAATCCGGAAACATGCTCTGATCAACCTTATTCATGAATCTCTGGTACTTAACCCTTTCCCATGAATGATTTCAGTCCAAGTATTAGCATAATTTCTTCCTCAGACAGATAAAAAAAAAAACTAGATTTGGAGGATCATATTTAGACAGTCTGTCAATTGAATCTCTAAGCAAACATATACAGATCAAGCTTTATATTTCAAATTTGCCCTTTTGCTTCCTGAGATCAAGCTTTATATTTCAAATTTTTAGTACCCTAAGCACAGAAGATCAGCTCTGATCAGCCAAATAGGAAGAACAAGACTGCCCAATGAAGGAAACCAGAAATTAAGAGAGACCCACTCACCCACATACCTTTTGAGCCACAAACCCCATTACAGAAACCCAGGGAAAATATACCAAAAGTGACCATTTTACCCTCCCACAAAATTAATAAACAAATGAAATTGTTTTTCCGGCAAAAATCTACCGGCAAATTAGCCGGAAGGACTTAATGTGTAAAAAAAAGCATACTAAAAGGACTAAATCTGTTAGTTTTAAAAGTCACGAACTGAAATTACCACCCTCTCTATAGTCATAGGACCAAAAGTGTAATTTTCTCTTTTCAAGAATATATGCATGGTTTGGGTGGACTTTGTCTCCAGGAAGAATTCTAAGGCAAATACAAGTACACTTTATCAAGATATGAGTTGTTAGTTTGCGGGCAAGTTACGTATTTTTATGGAGGTAGGAGAAGGAGGGACCGTTATGCTGTGCATCCGTATGCACCATGCATGGTGCATCCGGATGCAAAACGACGTCGTTTCGGCGTATAACTTAAAAAAATAAATTCAGAATTGCATACCTACACATTCATAATTTCATAACTATACATCCAGAATTACATAACTACACATCCATAATTTCATAACTACACATTCATAAATCATTCTTTCTGGGCATTAAGACTGTTCCGTTATCTGGTGGTATGCTTCTGTCCCAACAACGTTACATGAAGGATATTCTCAAACGAGCTGGTATGGTTGACTGCAAATCAGTGGCCACGCCGGTTTCATCTGCCAAACCCGTGGAGGATTCTGTGGTTCTTTATGCTGATCCCACTCAATATCGGAGTCTCGTAAGTGCTCTACAGTATCTTACAGTAACTCGTCCTGATTTATCATATGCTGTTAATCGTTTATGTCAGCACATGCATGCTCCCACTACTGCTGACTGGGCCGCCCTAAAGAGGGTTTTACGGTATGTTAATGGGACGTTGAATCTTGGTCTTCGTATATCTCGTTCTGATTGTCTTAATATTCATGCTGATTCTGATTCGGATTAGGTTGGCAATTCGGATGATCGGAAGTCGACTAGTGGCTTTGCTGTGTTTTTGGGTAGTAATCTTATCTCTTGGGTATGTCGGAAGCAGCGATCTGTACGTGGCTCACTCCTCGACTAAAGCTGAGTACAAGGGATTGACTGATGTCACCTGGCTTGTTTCCTTGATAAAGGAAATCGGTTTTTCTCTTACCTCTACGCCTAAGTTGTGGTGTGACAATTTGGGGGCTACTTATTTGTGTGCTAATCCAATATTTCATGCTCGCACGAAACACATTGAGATTGACTACCACTTTGTTCGCGATAAAAGTGGCTAAGAAGGAGTTGCAGGTTCACTTTATTTCCACAAAAGATCAACTAGCAAATATCTTTACTAAACCTCTTTCGTCTTTACGTTTTAATTTACTGCGTGGCAAGCTCAATGTTTTGGCTAGCCAACTTTGTGCTTGAGGAGGAGTATTAGGACTATATTACTTGTATTAGACTAGGACTCTATTTCGTATCTTTATATTTGTATCTTTAGACTTTGGTATTGAATACAACACACAATCCATATCCTCATCATTGGGCTAGTACATGCAAATATGGATTCCTAGACTATTGTTAATTTCGAGACTTTCTTTCTTATGTATTTAAGACGCGCCAACTAAGTCTTGAAAGAGAAATTTGTAACCATTGAAATTTTAAATGAACCGATTTGTATGTTATTAGGCCTTAATGGATAATTAGTTATCAAATTAATTAATTTAATTAGACTAATTGAACAAATATTTATTTAATTGGGTTCAAATCAAAAGATTGTCAAATAGAACCTACTTACGTAGTTACATGACTAATAAACTGTGGGTAATATTGAAGTAAAATTGATTTTTAGTTTTTTGCCTTTTCAACTGATTAAATAAAAATGATAAATTTTTAAAGAAAAGGTTAAACTGAATAGTTTTAAC